AGGCTGGCTTCGAACTCACAAAGATCACTTGCCTCTGTTTCCGGAGTGCTGAGATTAAAGGTGGGCGCCACCAATGCCGGGCCTAGGTTGTCATTCTAACTCCATTTTGTGCTGTTTTGTTTTTTAATTGCTGTGCCTCTTTTTGTTCTTTTTTATCGCAGTACCTCACACATGCTAGACAAGACCTCTACTGTCATATTTTGAGGCGTGTTGTTGCTAAGTTTCTCAGGCTGGCCTTGAATTTATGTTTCTCCTGCTTTCATCTCCTAGATAGCTGAGCTTAGAGTGTGAGCCACCAGCCTAGCTTGTGTGCATTGTAAAAGCGCTGTTTTCTATCTTCCAACTAGTGATTATTCTGCCTGGTATCAGTGCAGCACAGATACTGGAAAATCATCCCAAGACCTATTGCAGTAGGTTTGATCTATTGTTTATCCACACAGCAATGAAATTCTAGATGTCAAGATTGCTTGTTAGAATGAGCTCAGGTACATGGGGCCTTCCTTTAATCTGTGATTATGTTTAAGAAGGTCAAACCTTGGTGAAGTCCTATACAGGCTGAGCATTTATAATCTGTAAATCCAAAGTGCTCCGGATGTGAAGCCTCAGCAGAAGTAGAAAATTCTCCTCCAGCCTTGATAATGAATTGCAGTTAAGATGCTGCGGAAGTGCATTAACTTCAAGCTGCATGCATTGGGCGTGTATGGGGGGGAACATAAATGAATGCTCTGTTCATAATTGGGTCCCATTCCTGAAGAGTGTATATGCAAAAGTGCCTGAAACCCTAAACACGTCTGCTCCCAGGAATTTCCAATAAGGGAAATCCAACTAGTAATACTTCTCATTGAAAACCATCTATTTTGAGTTTCTTGGTTGTTGTTTTTGGTTTTCTGGGTTTTTGAGATAGGGTTTCTTTGTGTAGCTTTTTTTCAGTTCCAGACCTGTCCTGGAACTCACAGAGATCTGCCTGTCTCTGCCTGCTACCTTGGCCTCCCGAGTGCTGTAATTAAAGGCATGCACCACCACTGGCCAGCCTTCTTGTCTTTTGTTTTGTTTTTAAACAAAGTCGCCTGATACAACCTGAACTTGCCTTGAATTCCTTATCCTACTACCTTGGCCTCCGAATGCTGGATGTGACTCTGTGCCTGCTTTATTAAAAGATTTATTTTGCACCCTCATTCTTTTTTTTACTTTTTTCCAAGACAGGGTTTCTCTGTATAGCCTTGGCTGTCTTAGAATTTACTATGTAGCCGGGCGTTGGTGGCACATGTCTTTAGTTCCAGCACTCGGGAGGCAGAGGCAGGCGGATCTCTGTGAGTTTGAGACCAGCCTGGTCTACAAGAGCTAGTTCCAGGACAGTCTCCAAAAGCCACAGAGAAACCCTGTCTCGAAAAACAAAACAAAAATGCAATAAAGAGCTAGAGAGACATCTCAGTTGGTAAAGTGCTTGCCTGATAAGCATGAGGACTTAAGTTTGATACCTATAACCCTCATAAGAAAAATCAGGCATGGTGGTGTCTACTTATTATCCCACCCTTGTGGAGGCAGAGCCAGGCAGATCCCTGGAGTTGAGCTTCTGGCCCACACATTCAGGCACACATGCATACATAAAATATGAAGGGAAAAAAGTATGCAGTTAGAAGTTAGACTACTGGGGGCTGGAGAGATGGCTCAGCGGTTAAGAGCACCGACTGCTCTTCCAGAGGTACTGAGTTCAATTCCCAGCAACCACATGGTGGCTCACAACCATCCGTTATGAGATCTGGTGCCCTCTTCTGGTGTGCAGATATACATGGAAGCAGAATGTTATATACATAATAAATAAATAAAATCTTAAAAAAAAAAAAAAGAAGTCAGACTACTTAGGTAGAGCATGGTGTTGTACACCACTAATCTAACAACTGGAGAGGTTGAGGGAGACTGAGGCAGATGAATTTTTTGAGATGGGTTCTCTGTGTCAGTGGTTCTTAACATATGGATTTGGCCCCTTGGGTCAAATCACTCTTTCACATGGGTTGTCTAAGACTATTGGAAAACACAGATATTTGCATTATGGTTAATAACTAGCAAAATTACAGATATGAAATAGCAACAAAAGCTGGGTGTTGGTGGCGCACACCTTTAATCCCAGCACTCAGGAGGTAGAGGCAGGCGGATCTCTGTGAGTTTGAGGCCAGCCTGGTCTTCAGAGCGAGTGCTAGGATAGGCTCCAAAGCTACACAGAGAAACCCTGTCTTGAAAAACCAAAAAAAAAAAAAAGAAATAGCAACAAAAACAATTTTATGGTGTGGAGGGGAGTCACCACAACATGAGGAACTGTATTACAGGGTCACAGCTTTAAGGTTGGAAATTACTGCTATATATAGTCCTGGTTGTTCTGGAACTCAGTACATAGACCAGGCTGGCCACAAACAAGAGATCCTTCTGCGTCTGCCTCCCAAGTGCTGGGATTAATCCATACACACCTGGCTAAAACCTTTTTTTTTTTTTCATACAGTATGCTTTGAGCATGTTTTCTCCTCCCCCAAGTCTTTCCAAATCTTCTCCACCTCCCTACACATCAACTTCTGTGTTCTTTCTGTTTTAAAAGAAGAAATGAAGGGGGCTGGAGAGATGGCTCAGAGGTTAAGAGCACCGACTGCTCTTCCAGAGGTCCTGAGTTCAGTTCCCACCCGCCCCCTGGTGGCGCACAACCATCCGTAATGAGATCTGGTGCCCTCTTCTGGCCTGCAGGGACACATGCAGACATAACACTGTACATAATAAATCTTTAAAAAAAAAAAAAAAGATGCCTATTAATACTACAAAAATAGAAAAATCAAACTACCAGGTGAGAATTGAGGCTTCTCACATGCTAGCTTAAAACTTTGAACGTCAAACATCAAGACTTATTTATGTGTTGAGTTGCTGTGGCAGGAAAGTTGCTAAGCTAATCTGAAGGACACAATAGTGTAGATGGAGCACAACACAGCTGTGGCCTTCCCCTGCCTCAACCATGCTCTCCGCCTTTGCCTAGGAGAGAAGGTATTGATAAAGGAACTATGTATGTTTGTGTCATAGTTGATACCCAGTTAAAGAGCCAAGTAATACTAGGATCCCTGAGGCTTTTTAGCCACAACTATATTTTTCCTTAATCAACTTTTCTTTTTGCAGCCACAGGTGGAATTAAGAAATCTGGCAAAAAGTAAGCTGTTCCTCTTATCTTCCATGATGGTGACCCTCCTCCATCCCTATTTAAACATCTGGATCCCCTGCCATAACATCTTTGCCACCTGCAGCTAGAATGAAGTGCTATCTTGAATGAAGCCTATTGTACATTGTAATAAACTTTTGTAAAAAAAATAAACAAGTAAAATGAATAATACAATGGCTCTTTGTCCTAGTGTTCAGCAATTCCTACCTCAGCTGTGAATTTAAACCCAGTCTGGAATCCTACCAGAGCCTGCTGTTTCATCTTTGTTGTACTCTGAATTCTGTATCACTTTGAATTAAACAACTCATTAAAAGGCTATCATTTCTTGTGTAGTTGTTTATCTAATGGTATCCTTTTACAGGGTTTAGTAAAAGGAAGTACACTTTGTAAAGAAAAACAACTGTCTTTCATGATATCCAAGTTGACATGTTTGTGTTTAAAAACAAACTACTTTAATTCAGGCAGAGACAAGGGATCCCTGGAGCAAGCCGGATAGCTAGCCTCCATATAGGCGAGCTTTGAGTTAAGTTGAGACACCCTGCCTCAATGAATAAGATTCCCAAGCTTGGGCCACATATGCACTTGCATGTGTGCTCACAGATATGACACACATGCAAAGAGGGAAAAGGCCCATCTTGCTAAACCACAACTCATTTTGTTTCTCATTGGCTTAAAATTCTCTCCGGTGCTAAAAAAGAAAAAAAAAAAAAAAGCCACAGTTCATAAAATCAGACTCTAAGGCAGTGGTTAACCCTTTACAATACAGTTCCTTGTGGTGATCTCAATCAAACTTTAAATTGCAGCTTCATAACTAATTTTGCTACTGCTATGAATCATAATGTAAATATCTGGTATGTGACCCCCCAAAGAGGTGTCGAGCCCCCAGTTGAGAAGTGGTCTGGACACCATTCCTTTCCTTCTGATTTCTACTATTCACTCTTTAGTCCACTGGCAGCCACAGTAGTCTGAGGTGAAGACAAGCCTGTGTTTTTGTTTGTTTGTTTGAGATAGGATCTCAATGTAACCCTTGCTGTCCTGGGGCTCTGTGTAATCCAGGCCTGCCTCCAGAGTACTGAGATTAAAGGTATGAGCCACTATGCCCAGCTCTGTATTTTCTGTTTTTATACTGGGCATTTTCTTAGTGGTGAAGAAATACACATATAGCAAGCACACAAAGACAAAGCAGTGAGTAAGGAAGTCCAAGCCCTTCACTGTGTGTCACCAACTTGACTCCTTCTGTCTTACCTTTACAAAGTCCTAACTCCTTGGGAAGTTGAAGCAGGAGGATCACAACTTGAAGACATGACTGGGTAACAGTCACAAAAAAAGTAAAAGGGGCTGGGGACATGGTTCAGTGATAAGAGGACTGACTGGCTTTATACATTTGAAGAGCCCTAGATTTCAGACCCCAGTTCTGGGAGAAAACAAGTTATAGTGACTTTTCCCTGATCATACTTTGCAAAGTGGTAGTTCCTACCAAATGTTACCTGCTATCAACCACCAAGTGAAAAATTCCAGAATAGAAACCAATCTTGTTTGGGAAGGAAGGAGTTGAGGTAGGATTTTATTATCACACAGACTGACCTGGAACTCTGTATAGACTGGACGGGCCTTGACTTTAAAAATCCTCCAGCTTCAACCTCCGTAAAGCTGGAATTACAGGTTTGTGCCATCATGGCCAGAAATGGGATCCTATTTTAGGTGAGACAAGATGCTGGAAATTCTATGCAAATACTTTAACACTGTCCCACCCCTATGTATTTACTGAAACTCCTAATTGAGAGGCACAAGACTTCTGATTTGCTCTCTAGGTCATTCATAAACTGGAAATAAACTTTCCCTGAATATTTTTTTTTTTTTTAATGAGACAGGGTCTCACTAAATTGCTCAACTAGACCTTGAATGTGGATTACCCAGCCTAAGCCTCCTGAGTGGTTGGAATTACAGACCTGCACCAAGCCCAGCTAGCACACCTTTAATCCTGGCACTCGGGCAACTGATGCAGGAGAATCAAAATTATAAAACACCAGCTTGGAGAGTAGAGAGATGGTTCAGCAGTTAATAGCACTGGCTGTTCTAGAGGGCCAGGGTTCAATTCCCAGAACCCCCATGGTGTCTCATTATAATTCTAGTTCCAAGGTAGCGAATTCCCTCTTCTGGCCTCTGACATACATGTAAGCAAAAGACCCATACACACAAAGCATTTTTTAAAAAATAAGCTTGCTTTGTTCATCTCCAAAAAGCACCTTCTTTGTGCTTTAGGCAAATGAGGTCTTGGCACCTGCCACCTAGCCTGGCACTGTGCTGCTGGAAATAACTTGTCAAGAGTCATGGCTTCCTGCCCCCCTCAACAGAAGTTACTTCTTTATTTTGTGGAATCTAATCCCTCCGGACAATGAACAGTCCTATCTCTTTTTCAGATGCACAGACCTTAGTTATTAAGACTGGGGTATTCAGCCAGGGATGGTAGCCCACACCTACAATTCTAGCACTTGGAGACTGAGACAGGCGGATTGTAAGTTTGAGACCATCTTAAAAAACAAAAACAGCTGAACATGGTGGTTCATGTCTATAGTTCCAGCACTCAGAGGGGAGGAAGGACATTTTGGAGTTCCAGGCCAGCTTTGGTTACATGTCAAGACACCGTCAACAGGCGGGGAGGGGGCTGGGAGGCTTAAGCAGTCAACATGTTGGGCAGCTAAAGGAAACTACTAGCCGCTGCATCCAAAAACTAAGGCCGTTCTAAGTGAGCCAATGCCTTCTGGCCTCTGTAGGCATCAGACATGCATGTGGAGCACACACATACATGCAGGCAAACACACACACACACACACACACACACACACACACACACACACACGACCTAAGGCATTCTAGGCCTGAGCACTCTCCTTTTTCACCCAATGTCTTAGCAGACAGATAGGCTCACAAGCTAAGTCTGGCACCCAGGAAGCAGAGTAGAAAAGTCTGATCCTGTTGGTCTCCAATGCTAACCCCCCAGTCCTGCCAACTGTTCCGTCCACCACTTATGCTCATAAAAGCCTATCATACACCCAAGCGCAACCCAAATCTTCGCTCCACTGTGAAGTTTTACCACACCTCTCTGCCGCAGGAACTTCCACCTAGTATCCTTGTCGAAGATGACTTTTTCTCAGTAACATTATGCGTCAGGCTCTTACCCATTTTTCTTGCCAGTTTTCCCTCAACCTGTTAGGCGATCCAAGGACCACTCACAAGGAGCCTTCCTTGACCGCTTGAGCTTCATTCACCTCTATGCAACCAGCGCTCAGGACATAAAGAGTCTCCGAGAAATAAGAAAGTTCAAGCAGCGGCGAACAGACACACCGTTCTCAAGATCGCCCTTCCCGGACTTTCCTCAAATACACACATCCTTGAAACATTCGCTATTCTGGAAGATCCCTTCTCCCCAAGGCAAGAGAGTCTCCGGATACATGACAGGCGGGGCAGGCGCGGTGAGTGACCCCTGGCTGCTGCCCGTCTCGACTCAAGGCGGACTGTATTCCACGCAACGCCAGCGGGGACAGCCACAGGTGCGGCCGGACAGACGCTCCTCGGTCCCGCAACACGGGTAGCCACGACAGCACTGCACAGCGCCCAGGCACAAGCGGCGACTTCGCGGTGCCGAGTCCAGACTGCAGCAGGAACCTGTCAGGTGTAACAGCGCGCTCAGTACACGTCATCCCTCCGCGCCCGCTAGCTGACAGCGGATTGGCCCGCAGGCTGGGGAGACGCTCGTAGCTGAAGCGAGCCGCGGCGCGCGGGCGGTTGGGCCAAGTCGGGCTTTCTGCGGACGGGGCTGCGCTTGGCGTCCTCGGACGCTGCGGGCAGAAGGAAGTCATGGCTGGGACACCCGCACCGAGCAGCCACAGGAAGCAGAGCGGCGGCCCGGCGCCTCTCCCGGGCCTATCGCGGGCCTTCGACAACCCTCCGAGCAAGCGGGCCCGCAGCTTCTCGGAGACCGCGGACCCGGACCCCGAAGACCCATTCGGCGCGCACGCGGAATTCACCGCGGACGACCTAGAGGAACTCGACATCCTTGCGTCACAGGCCCTGAGCCAGTGTCCGGTCGCGCCTCGGAACAGCCTGGCCAGTGAGTGCCTGAGGGGGGCCTTTCCCCCGGGGTGGTGCACACCGCTTCAAAGCGGTGGCTTTGGCAATGGTGTCTTGCACCGCTTCCCCTTCTCTTTATAAGGCGAGGGACCCCGATCGAAGCGCGGTTCTGCTTCACAGGGCCCTTTGATTTGGTGTTACAACATCCAGAATGCCCAAAGGCCTCACATACCCAGGCTTTAAATATAGATAGCCAGACTATTATTTATTTCCCTTGAAACATAACTACGACCACTTCAGAACTGTCACAACCCATGTGAGAGGATTTAGATTTTATGCAGCCCAGCACGAGCATGGGAAGCGTCTGGCAGAGGCAAGAAATGATTCTTACACAACCAGTAATCTACGATAGTTACCCAAAAGTTAGGAATGGCAACAGCCACGGGCAATGAGCAAGAAATATCAAAACTTTCCTTCACAGAGCTTACATCTTAAAAAGTGAAATCTCGTGGACTGTCAGGAGGATCTGATGGGCCCTTTTCGTCAGTTCTTAACACCTAAAGCATCTGAAAAATAGGATTATTCCTGGAAATGTAGACCTCCATCTCTCCAGCAATATTGCCTGGGAAACCTGGCATTAGAAAACACTCATTGCTGACCAGATGTTTTAAGTGGTAGTGGTGAGCACTACTCTCCACCCAATGGTACAGGCAACTCCTCCTCTTTCTTTGGCCCTGCATTACCTGAATCCATCCCTGAAACCCCACCTCCCCCGTGAGATATATCCATTTTTTTCGACATTGTGTCTTTAAAGACTAGCAGATCCTATGTCTAGCATATTGCAGTAAATAATATTAATGATACATTGTAGTTATAACCAGTGATATCTCAGCCATTAGCTGAGATTCTTGAAATTAGGTGCAAAGGGAGAGTATTCAGACATGCTATTTCATAAGAATTCTTTATGAGTTTACATCATGTTCTGAGATTGAAAGTATTGGTAAATATTATTTACTGGGTCTTTCTCAACTTGGCTTTCAAGACAAGCATTTTATGACAAAGGTGGGTACATACTGAGTCCTGAAGTATTTATGGAATTTTTTTCCCAAGATTTTCTCACTCTATAACTAGACTAGCCTTGAACTTGGGATCCCCCTACCTCAGCCTCCCAAGCACTGGGATTACAGTTCTGTGCCACCATGCTCAACTTAATGGGAACTATTTTTTATGCAGGTGCTCATAAGGTCTGCCAATTAGATGGGTCATCAAATAGTCCTATGAGGAAAAACAAAGAAAATGCTCCAGTTAAAGATAGTTTTGAATTAGAAGTACTTCAGACACAATACAAAGAACTTAAAGAAAAGGTATGTAACTTGTGAGGTTTCTTTCCTTGTTTATTTGGTGTAATGCTGAGAATATAACTTTACCTTTACACGTGCTATAAACAGGGACACCGACTGCTAAGCTATATTTCCAGCTCTAACTTCTTGCATTTGTAGCTAATTCATTCATTTACGTATTAAAAAGCATTGTGTAAAAAAATATAAAATTTTTAAAACATGCATGTAGATTCACCCCCCTGAAATGAAAGATTAGGGGAAGAATGCCTGATTTTTTTATTTGCTCTGTGTATGCATGTAAGTCTATGTGAGTTTACATGCACCACATGTATGCAGGTGCCCATAATGGTCAGAGGGTTTTGGATCCTCTGGAACCAGAGTTACAACTGGTTGTGAGCCACCTGATGTGGGTACTGAGAAAGGAACCTGGGTCCTCTGCAAGAGCAGTAAGTACTTTTAGCTGCTAAATCATCTCTTTAGCTCCCATAACCTGTATCTTTCATTTGAGGAACAATCATTATATTGGTTGCTATTTCATTAGTTTTGTTAAGTAATCATCATCTTTCATATGGCCATCTGTAAGTGCCTCTAAGAAACCCAGGAATGTAACATGGAGCATTAGTTCTGGAGTGTGTGACCCATAGTGTCAAAAAAAGTTGAAAGAATTTATGTATATGTGACAAGTGTATTCTGAAACTGTTCTTGCTGAATACCAACTGACTGGACATAATTTACAGCTGAAAGCAATGGAAGAAGAAGTCTTAATTAAGAATGGAGAAATTAAAATTTTGCGTGACTCACTGCATCAGACAGAATCAGTTCTAGAAGAACAGAGAAGATCACACTTCCTTCTTGAGCAAGAGAAGACTCAAGCACTCAATGAAAAAGAAAAGGAGTTCTCTAAAAAGGTGACCCAGATCATTTGTTTTGCATGCTATGGACAGTAGTTTTGCCTATTCGCTAAATTCCATTAGAAGCAATAACCAAAGCTGGGTGTAGTAGTGCATACCTTTAATTGCAGGAGGCAGAGGCAGGTGGATCTCCATGAGCTCTAGGTCAATTTAATCTACATAGTGAATGCCAGGCCAGTTAAGGCTACATAGTGAGACAGTATCTCTAAAAAGTGAAACAAAATAGAAACAATAACAAGTGTTGCCTGGAAATATTCAGCCATCATTTGTCTTAAGTACTTCCTGCTCTTACTAAATGGCATGCACCTTCCTTCCAAGGTCTGCATTTGGTTTGGAAAAGGACTAAGATGATACTCTGCTTTGCTGTGGTTGTTGGCAGGAATAAATCACTAACTTTGAGTTTCTAGGAATAGGCTTGAATTAGGGTTCTTTGGTGGATAAGAAATTCAGTTACTTGGCTTACCAAAAAGGAAATGTATTAGCACCATATTCAAGTCTAGGGCTTCAAATGACTTAACCTTGCCAGGATATGTTTTGATCCTGTTATAGAGACCCACGGCTCTGTCAGTAGTGTGTTCTGACCCCCAAGCTCATGTATATACATTTCAAAACTCCAGAGCACAGTTAAGACATGGGCTTCCTCATCCAGGCATTGTGAACACATGTTTGCAATGCTAGTACTTGGGAGGCTGATATGACAGTGTTGCTATAAGTCCAAGGGCCAACTTAGGCTGTATGGTGAGACCCTGTTTCAAAAGGCCAAATAAGCAAACAAACAAACAAACAAACAAAAAAGGTGGAGGTTCCCTCATCTCTAACTTAAGAGTTTTAAAAAAGCAGCTAACTGGTATTAAGCCAGGTACCTGCTTCCAGACTAGTTCTAAAACCAAAGGATAACTGTCATTTGTATCCCAGTCAGGTAGGAAAGGGAGGTTATGGTTTGCCAAGAAAATGGTAGTATTCCTGGGCATCGGTGGCAGGGCACGCCTTTAATCCCAGCACAGGTGGATCTCTGTGAGTTCCAGACCAGCCTGAGTTCCAGGACAGCCTCCAAAGCTAGATATCCTGTCTCACCCCCCCCCCCAAAAAAAATGGTAGTATCCAGTATCTAGCTGTAAGCGTTGCGGCACAAATGGGAAAGTATTCTGGCACTCGGGAGCCACAGAATACCACAGGTCGCAGTTAGCATAGCAGCTTACAGCCCTGTTCCAGGGAAAGGGTTCCTCAGTGTAATAGCTCTGCTCAAGCAGGAGAGTGTTTCCCAGCTCCAGGGTAATAGCAGTTCTGCTCCCAGCAGTGGAGGGCTTCCCCATCAAAGTTAACAGTTCAGCTCCAGTCCGCTGAAAAACCACAGAGAAACCCTGTCTCGAAAAACAAACAAACAAACAAACAAAAAGAGATTTATTGGGAGGGAAGAATCAAGAGAGTGGCTGCCTCTGCCAGGGTGGAAGAAGACAGCAGCAAAGGGAAGAGGCACAGGGTTTATGTAGGACTTCTTAGGGGCAGACTTTTACCAGGGAGCTTTCCAGGGTGGGGATTGGTCAGATTTCAGTCCCTGAGCTCAGATTGGCTAGATCTCCTGCTCAGGGATTGGTTGGTTTTCTGGCCAGGGACAGATTTGGCTCTGATTTCAGGGCCAAAATATGTTTCTTTCACTGGCAAATTTAACTTTTTGACTCTAATTTTAGGGTCAGGGCATATTTCTTTCTCTGGCTCTGATTCTAGGGACAAAGTGTGTTTCTTTGGCACTTATTTCAGGGTCAGTCAGGGTGCATTTCTTTGGCTCTGGTTGCAGGGCCAAAGTGTGCTTCTTTGACTGGTACCTTTTCCCAACACTACCACCACTTTCCTTCAGAACATCTGTGTGCCATGTCAAGGATATGCACCCCCACCCCTTTTTAATTTGAATTTTGTTTTGTTTTGCTTTTGAGACAGACTCTTACTATATAACCCTGGTTGTCTCGGAGCTCAACGTGTAGATCAGGCTGGTCTCAAACTCAGAGGTTCACCAATCATACCTGCTCTGCTTCCTGAGTGTTGGGGTTAAAGGCGAGTACCAGCGTACACACATTTTGGAGTGTGTGTAGTATATACAGTGCTGTCACAGATGTCTTCCTTTGGCTTTTTCAGCTTCAGTCATTGCAGTCAGAGCTCCAATTTAAAGATGCAGAAATGAATGAATTAAGGACAAAACTTCAGAGCAGTGAACGAACAAATAAACTAGCTGCTTCCTCCACTTCCCACGCCAGGTAAGCAGTGTGCTGGACGGACAGTTCAGTTTGGCATTGTTTTACAAAAGGCCTGACAACTCTCTGAATGGTTTTGAATGAAGTGCATTTTTCTGAGTCCCTCTTTCCTGAAGGATGCAAAGGTGTCTGGATGAGGCTAAATGGTCTGCGCTGTTCAGTATAAATGTTCTCATTCCAGGAGTGCTTAGCCTGAATGGGGCAATAGTAATAGAAAGATAATACCTATTTTTTTTTTTTTTTTAAGGGTAAAAAAGGTTTGCTTTGGCTTACCGTCCAGGGAGTACAGTCCATTCTGTTGGGAAAGGCATGGCAGCAGGAACTCAGAGCTGAGCAGATTAGGAAGCAAATAGATGAGTGCTCAGCTGTTTTCCTCACTTTCCCAGTCTATGGTGTAGTGTTACCCACATTCAGGGTAGGCCTGCCTTCAAAGTTTGAAAACAGACCAGCCTTTATTTGCTTGTAATTTGTTTAACAACACCCCCAACAACAACAACAACACAAAAGAAAAACATGAATGTATTTCAGTTCTGGCTGATTAAAATATTTTTTCTCATTTGCTATCTGGGACCTTTGTCTTACAGCCCCTCCTTTGCTGCCAGATGGGCTCACCTTATTAATGATCTGTGTCCTGCCCTCTGCCTCCCACAGCAGTCTGTCATGTATCAGTATCAGCCTTGAATTTTGAACTCTTTCTGGTATGGAACATTCTCCTGCCTTTGGTCATGTTGGGCAGAGTGTGAAACTGAACTTACCTTGCCTTACGTGCTTCAGGTGAGACAGGAGTGATGGAGGTCTGTCCTTACCTCTTTACCCTTCAGTCATAGATCAGAGAGCTCAGACTCCGTCTCACGCACAGCCGTCAGTGCTGGGTAGGCTGAGGGGCCTACTCAGTTTTCATCCACTTTCTAATAGGCCCTCTTTGTTTTAAAGATTTTTTAAACAATTATGTACATTTGTATATGTTTGTATGGGTATGCATTTTTGAATGCCAGTACCTACAGAAGCCAGAAGAGGACACTAGGTTCCCTAGAGCTGGAGTTACAGGCATTATGAATTGCCAGACATGGGTACCAGTAGCAGAACCTAGGTCCTCTCAAGAGTGGTATTCACTATTAATGCTGAGCTATCTCCTGCCCCAGATAAAAATTTCTTTTGGAAATTTTTGGATCCAGGCACTGATTACTAAAAATTGGGTTGTTCTTTTAAAAACTTTTTTTTTTTTTTGCTTATGTGTGGAATTGGAGTAAAGACTAACAGCTAGTATTTTTGGATGCCTAAGAGAATATGAAAATAAATGCCACCTTCAACATAGACTAACATATCCATAATAGATAAAACCTCTGCTCAAAATGTCTAGACATGAAAAGTTTATGTTAGAAAATTTCTAACCAGGTATTTTAAGTGGTTTTAACAGAACCATGACTTTGTTCTCATTGTTAACTCTTTCCAGTCCTAGGAAAGGCTCTTCTGTGGCTATAAAATCAGAAGCATGCTCTCCACATGTCAGAAAATCATCTTTCCCTACAAAGGAGTCTTTTAGTGCTAATATGCCGCTCTCCCATCCCTGCCAGACTGAGGCAGGATTCAAACTTCTGGTGGAACCAGAGGGTAAGTCAAGCTATTAGTAACTGATTTTTGTGTAATGGACTGCTCCTAATAGTGGCCTACCCATTAATATTTACTTTCTTTTTCAAAATTTCTGTGCATTAGCAGTTTGACACATGGAGACTGTATTGAGGTCAGAGAGCAATTGTTGTTTTGTTTTGTTTTGTTTTTCCAGACAGTGTCTCTCTGTGTAGTCCTGACTATTTTGGAACTTGTTCAGTAGACCATGCTGGCTTGAGCTTACAAATATGCACCTGCCTCTGCCTCCTAAATCTGGAGCGTCTTTAGGTGACTCTGAGACTCTGCTGTGTTACCTTATTATATAATTAGATACATTGCCCCTCTTCCCACCGTCAGCCCTTAAATCACTGCTGCTGCTCTGAGAAACTGCAGCCACATCTTTGGTGTCTCAGCTAGCAGGGCACCACACTGTAGCAGAGCTCTGCCTATTACAGGCAGGCAGAGCACACAGCCTGGATGTAAGTCCCAGCCACACTACTTACTAGCTGATGTGCTTCAGTTCTTTATATGTAAAACAACTAATTGTGACCTCTAATCATAGGGTTGCTCTATGAAACTAATGGGCTCCTTTGTGTAAAGTTAGTGATTGCTATTTTCACTGTATCAGTGAGGCAAACAGATTTTCTTTTTAGGGATCAGGAGGTACTTTGGCTCTTGTTTTGACTGAATTTGAAGAAGAGATTATCTAGGCTTTTAAATATTATGTGTAGGAGTTTCTGGAACACCTGCTCTTTTATGTTCAGCTTTTTTTTTTTTTTTTTTTTTTTTTTTGGTTTTTCAAGACAGGGTTTCTCTGTGTAGCTTTGGAGCCTATCCTGGCACTCGCTCTGGAGACCAGGCTGGCCTCGAACTCACAGTGATCCGCCTACCTCTGCCTCCCAAGTGCTGGGGTTAAAGGCGTGTGCCACCAAACGCCCGGCTTATGTTCAGCTTTTGATTCATATTTTTTCTAGTTCCAGATAATAAAACCCACAGTCTGAGAGATAACCCCATGAAGCAAGATGTTCAACAGAAAATTCTTGCTGACAGCTGGATGCAGAGATCAAACACTCAAGGTACCAGAATACCTGCTTTTCTGTAGAAGCCTTCGTAGCTTCCATTTTCTTCTGTGATGCCCAGAATTGCCCAGGGGAACTGTCTGAAAACTTCATCCTAGGCAGTCCTTTAGAGTTCAGACACATAGGAATCTGCAACTTACAAAGAAAAACAAAGCTGGGTGGTGGTGCATGCATTTACTCCCAGAACTTGGGAGGCAGAGGCAGGTGAATCTCTGAGAGTTCAAGGCCAGCCTAGTTACAGAGCAAGTTCCAGGACAGCCAGGGCTACACAGAGAAACCCTGTCTTGGGAAGAAAAAAAAGAAAAAAGCTGGACAGTGGTGGCACACACCTTTAATCCTAGCACTCAGGAGGCACAGGCAGGCAGATCTCTGAGTTTGAGGCCAGCCTGGTTTACAAAGCGAGTTCCAGGACAGCCAGGTCTACACAGTGAAATCCTGTCTTGAAAAACAAACAAACACAGAAAGAAAAACAGAGAAGAAGAAAAACAACAACATGGTCTGGTGTGATGGCTTAAAGGTGTCTGCCATCAGGCCTGGCAACCTGAGTGCAATCCTGGGACCCATGTGATGAAAGGAGAGACCAATTCCCAAAGGTTTTCTTCTGACCTCCACGTGTACGCTGTGGCACACATTCCCCCATGCCATAAAATAAATATAATTCATTTTAGTTAGATGTGGTGGTACATGTCTTTGATCCTAATGCTCTGGAGGTAAAGGGAGACATTAATTTAAAAAAAAAAGAAGGGCTGGAGAGATAGCTCAATGGTTAAGAGCACTGGCTGCTCTCGCAAAGATCCTGAGTTCAATTCCCAGCAACCACATGGTAGCTCACCACCACCCCTAGTGGGATCTGATGCCCTTTTCTGGCATAAGGGCATACATGCAAATAGAGCACTCACATATAAATAAATCTTTAAAAAAATAGAAGGAAGGAAGGGGAGAAGGAAAAGGGAGGGAGGGAGGAAGGAAGGAAGAAAAGGAAAAGAAAGGCAGGGCTGGAGAGGTGGCTCAGTGATTAAGGGCACTGGCTGCTCTTCCAGAGGTCCTGGGTTCAATTCCCAGTGCTCAGATGTCGACTCACAATATGATACCCTGTCCTAGTCTGCAAGCATACATGCAGACAAAGCATCTGTATACTTAAAAAAAATAAATCTTAAAAAATATATAATGACGGGCTGGAGAGATGGCTCAGAGGTTAAGAGCACTGGCTGGTTCCAGAGGTTCTGAGTTCAATTCCCAGCAAACACATGGTGGCTCACAATCACCTCTAATGAGACATGGTGCCATCTTCTGGCATGTAGGCAGAACTGCATAATAAATAATATATGTATGTATGTATGTATGTATGTATGTATGTATGTATGATGACTAGCTGGGCATTGGTGGCACAGGCCTTTAATCCCAGCACTCGGGAGACAGAGGCAGGTGGATCTCTGTGAGTTCGAGACCAGCCTGGTCTACAAGAGCTAGTTCCAGGACAGCCTGCAAAGCCACAGGGAAACCCTGTCTCGAAAAAAAAAACAAAAAAAAAAAAAGAAAGGGTGTGGTGTATGTATGTGTGTGTGTGTGTGTGTTGGGGGGGGGTAGAGTTATGTAAAGGGAAGAAACATTTAAAAAAAAAAAAAAAAAGGAAAAAAGGCTAAGAACAGAATCCAGAGCCTTCTGCACCTACAAGCATCATAACAGAGTTTAGTAGCTTAAGGATGGTTCTCTAAAGGTCCCTCGCCTCTTTTCTCCTAAGGCTGTAGAAGAGATCTCCAGTAGTCAGGCTCGACAGTACAGGATTGTAATCCCAGCACCTTAGAGGCTGAGGCAGGAAGATCATGAGTTCACGGCAGAAAAGGCAACAGTGTAAGACTCTGTTTCTAAAAAAAAAACCAAAAAAACAAAGGAAGAGCAGGGCAGTAATGGCCCACACCTTTAATCCCAGCACTTGGAAGGCAGAGGCCAGCAATCTGAGTTGAGGCCAGCTTGGTCTACAGAGCAAGTTCTAGGACAACCAGGGCTATACAGAGAATCTCTGTCTCGAAAAACCAAATGGGAAGAAAACAGGGAGGAAGGAACTCTCCCATGTCAGAACATTCTGGAGTCACCTTGTCTTTTGCAGGTTCTATTTTGATAAATCTGCTTCTGAAGCAACCTTTGGTCCCAGGGTCATCTCTAGGTCTTTGTCACCTCCTAAGCAGTTGTTCTGAGGTTCCTATCGGCACCCTCTTGCAGCCACCAGGGCTCAGTAGGTAAGCATGACACTCCTGGAAACCTTGTTTGGGAAAGAGTCTCCACAGAGTATATGCCTTTTTAGTTCTGGCCAACATGGGAGATTAATGACATGTTTCGGGAGACTAGAGAACTTGGCAGACTGGTGATTTTGGGTCCTTGACCTAATGTATTTTCTTTTATTTCCAGCACCTTGGCTGGGATTTCAGGCCTCAGGACCATCATTTCTCGTGATGGGTCATTTTCCCCCTCTGCCCTGAGAGAAGCACAGAACTTGGCATTCACTGGATTAAATCTGGTTGCCAGGAGTGAGAGCTCACATGACGGAGACCTAGCAAAGGGAAGCAGGAGAGTCTTCCCTCTCTGCCAGCTCCCTGGAGCTGTGCACCTCCTACCACTTGTACAGTTTTTCATTGGCTTACACTGCCAGGCTCTGCAAGATTTAGCCTCAGCTAAGAAGAGTGTGGCGCCTGGGGACTCTCCAACACATACTTCCTGTGTGAGCTCTGGGGTAGAGACCAGCCTGGAGGACTCAATTTATCACCTGGAAAGCTTCTCTGTGACTTCACTTAGTGTCCTTCAACACCTGGTGTGCCACAGCGGAGCAGTCGTCTGCCTGTTATTGTCAGGCTTGGGGACAGATGCAGCTGCCAGGGAAGGAAACCCAGTTCAGACTTGTGCAGATACAGTCTCGGCCTCCAGGGAGGATGCTCATGACAAAAAACAGCATCCACTATTGAAGATGCTTCTTCAACTGGTGGCTTTCTCTTCTACAGCATCAGGTCATTTTCAAGCCAGTGTCCTGAGCCAGTGCCTCAAAGTTTTGGTGAAATTAGCTGAAAATGCTTCCTCTGATTTCTTGCCCAGGTATAAAGACTCACAGGAGGCATGATTCCCTAGGGGTCTGCCCTGACCTCTTGAGGTCCAACCTGTGGCTCTTGCACTTTGTTCCCATCTTGACTTAATCCTATTACTCAGCTATGGCTATGGCTTGATTCAGGGAGTTCTGAAGCAATGGGAAGGGGCCAAGTAAGCAAAGCACAGCCGGCAAAGGCTGAGCTAAGTGGCCTTGAACCTGAGATGTGGATCAGCTGAAGAACATGCCACAACATGTTTAAATTTGGTAGAGTTCTGCAAGGAAGCAGAGAGTACCAGGAGTGCATACAGCCATGAGCTGACCTTGCTGAGAATCTATCAACCTTGTATCCACCTCTATCATGAGTCACAGGTCACTTGCTTCTTAAGAGGAGTTTGTTAAAAGTGATAGTATAATGAATCTAGCACACACGCGTGCACACACACACACATGCGCGCGCGTGCGCGCGCAAAAGAAGTTGTTATAAATTATTAATTTGGGGTGCTAGAGAGACAGCTTAGCAATTAAGAGCTCTTGTTTTTCTTGCAGAAGACCTGGGTTCAATTCCCAGTACCCACGTAATAGCTCACAACCATCTATTACCCCAGTTCCAGGGGATCCAGTAGGCATACATGTGGTACACATGCATGTAGGCAAAGCATTCATATACATAAAGTAAAATAAGTAAATGGATC